CCTTGACCAAAACCGATAGTTTCAAAGATTAAAGACTAAAGCTCTTGCTTTTCTATCAGACTTCCAAGTTATGATGGTAAAGCAAATAGAAAAAAAAAACCTAGATTTACTACAAAGAAAATCTCCAGTTTCTTGGAACGCAAGTTTGATTCTCAAGGGAAAACCGTATTTACAAGTAGCTTAGTACGTTCTCAGGACTGGTTCGTTTCCTCAGAGGATGAATTGCCTGTATGATTATCCTGAGAATTTTTCTGGATATTCTCGCCTTCAAGCTTGGCTGAGAACTTGTATGGCCTTTGAAAATCTCTGGCATTTTGACTGTCAATACCCAGATTGTTCAATTTCTCTTCCTGTAGGAAACAAACTCATCAATCACAATTTCACGGTACTCGGTTGGTTCTGCGAAATACAAATATTAGTTCTCAGAAATAAAAAAGCTTACATTTTGTAAAGCTTCAAGCTTTTTCTGCATAGCTTCATGCTCAGCTCGAATCCGGAAAGGAACACCTTGCTTCTGGTAGACATTATTCTGGGCAAGGTCTTGATCGATATCACTAACGGTGGTTGCAAACGGATGATTGGCCGGGATCCATCTGACTGTCTCGGGATCAACATCAGGTGGTATCGAGTCTCCTTCTTTGAGAAAAATCGTTGGTCGCTTCCATTGGTATGCTCTTGACCTTCTTTTCTGATGAATAGTTTGTTCTTTCTCTGTAAGTGTGACTGGAGCTAGCCGATATACTTTCCCGCACATCTCTACAGTTGAGCTTCCTTTATCAAGTTTCACAAAAGGGTTGTTGAATGGGTCCTCGTAGTTAAGAGACTTGGAGCTGATAAAGAAAATGGAAAAACATCATGAGATTAAAGCTTTAGAGAAGTTAAACACACATCTACCTACATGAATCCAATGATGTGCTTGATTATTCAGAGTGAGAACTGGAAAGAAGATAAAGAGTGTGTGAGTTTCATACATGCCTCTTCTATCGCCAGACCTCAGCTGGCCACGTCTCACAAGATCAGTAACAGAGCCAGCACGCTGATTATCTCTTGACTTTCTTACTACATAAGCCCTGATCGCAGCGACCAAAACCGTAGCGGTGATGCAGATCCCGATCCAAATGCTGTTCCCTGAGCACTTCTTCATCTAAAACAGAGAAGATATTAAAATACCCCAATGAAGATCCAAATTCATGTGCCATAGTAGTCAATAAACAGAAGAACCACTAGAAGTTTTATCTAAACATGTTTTCTTTCGCCATTTCACCTTAAAAGCAAACGAACATATAAAGAAAGAGTGCTTAACGAAACTAAGAACATAACATTTCCTATTCAGGACAGTAAACAAATCAACTATCAATAAAACTCAGGAAAGATTCAAACTTAGGTAGCCTCTAATAGATAAAATGAACAATCTATATTCCACCATCAAAGAATTTGATATCACAGTGAAGGAGAAAAATCCATCAAAATCAGATTTTTACAGGAAAAATCAAAACTTGAAGCGATAAGAGAGAATCATACCACGAAGACAAGAGGAGGGAATGTGGTAATCATACTACGAAACCTCGAAACTGAATACTCGGAATCATGGGGAATAATGTCACTCTGAGCCGTAGCAGCAGTAACAACAACAACATTATTATCATTTTGAGTGTTCTGAATTTCTTCATCTGGAGTCGAGGAATTATCAATCGCTTTACACGCGAACCTTCTTTTAGTTTCAAATTGAACCCAGTTCAGATTTACGGGTCTCCGTCTGAAAATAACCAAACTTGAAGGAATCTGGAGCTTGGTTCTTCCAATCGACGACTAGGGTATCAAAAACAGCAACAAAGGACGCGAGATTTAAGAGTTCAATCACTGGAAAAGGAATTATAGGAGAAAGCAGTATTGGTGTTAGTGGAGAAGAAGAGATGGGTTCGATTGTTACCTGGAGATTGCAGAGAGAATGGAATTGGAGAGAATCAATGGATGCCATTTCATTGCTAAGGAACGGACCAACAATTCCCATGTTTTATTCAACCTCTTTATCATTAGTATATATATAATTAAGTGGTTATTCAACCTCTTTATCATTAGTATATATATAATTAAGTGGTTATACTTGGCAAGGGGATTCGTGGCGCAATGGTAGCGCGTCTGACTCCAGATCAGAAGGTTGCGTGTTCGATTCACGTCGGGTTCAAAATACCGAAATATATATTCGGAATTCCCCAATTTTTTTTTTTTTTTTTTTTAAGAAATATCTAGGGCCTCTAGGCCGTTAAGAGAATCCAGCAAAAGAAGGGAAGTGGCCACTTGGGCCGGTATCGGAATCATACATAGAAAGACCCCTCACAATATTTATTCCTCAGTCAAATTGCTGACAACACTTCGAATTCTCCACCGGTGCTTTTTTTTTACTTCACCAGTGGTGAATCACCACTATAAATATTATTCCCAAAAACATTTTTATTAATCAAAAAGGATCAATGAAACTGTATATATAAAAGGCGAAATCATCGCATCCACTAGAAATGGAACTTTCTAGTCGTGCCAAAAGGTCGACACTTAGTATATAAACTACAGAGTTTGATGGATTCTTTGCCTTTGCCTTGGCCATTTTATGGGTATTTTATATGTCTGTCTATGTTTATATTTAACAAACAAATTGAATGTTGTATTTCTTAAAGTGTGTTTGACGTGTAAACACTAATACTCTGTTTTAAAGAATTAACAATGTAGACAATGGTGTAAGAATATAAGCTAGACCGGGTAAAATATATACTATTTTATTTAGCAAATATTTATTTTGCAACACCCATTTGCAAAAAGTGGTATTAATCATTCACGTAATAAACAGAAACAATCAGTAATGCACAAAATAGTGCTGAACATAAATATGGGAATCTCCAGCCTCATTGGTAACTTTACAACTCTCATCATTTTAGTCTGCGAATTTATAGTCCTTCGACAAAACATAAAGTACTCTCTTCACTTTTTGGTTTATATATACTTCTCTTTCTTGAGGGACGATTTCAAAAAGATTTCTTACAAGCTAGCTAGTTTTCAAAATTTCATAACCATATTTCAGTATAAACATTTGTGATGATCTTAAACGATTATAAGATTTAGTTTGTAATGATCGTAAAAGATAAAACATTTGTAAATTAAAGCTCTACTTTTATACATGACCGAACTTCATAACAAAATAAACGAAAAAATACGACCTGGTAACAACCTCACACGAGCCTCTCACGTACGTATCCAGCGCCCGTAAAAGTAAACCCTATGAAATTCCTAATATGTTGTCAACATGCGGGTATTCTCTTGAAGCTCATACTCTCTTTTTTAGCAAAAGCCAAAAATCGATTCTTAGAGGCTAGAGATTGATAAAACCTAGTTTAACAAAAAATGGTTATGACAAATTTACCTTATAATATGTATTTTCTGATTTTGGGCGTACCGTTGGACGTTTCTAATTCTTAACACAATTTTTTAACTATTGCTATGCATAAATGTTCAATATCATATATTTTTCTCTCACAGGCCACTATAATTTGAACTTTAGGTTAATGGTTTATAATAAGTTCTCGTTGAACTTCAGGTTACTGGTCATAATTTTTTGTAGATTTAAAAATTGATTAAATTAAAATTATAAATATCTTATATATAATATATATGGTTAGCAGCACTACTAAGCACAAGGACGCACTTTCCGTAGTGGAAATGCTTGTGATGGGTGGACCATCCGTCGTATTTAATTCAACGGCTCCCCTACAAAACGAATAACTATAATATTCATTTTAATTAGTTTCTAAATAACTAAATCACCCAATTGTTGACAAACTAAACCATTAATTTATAAATTCTATAATTCCCTTCTTAAAACATTAACTTATATATTATACTTCAAATATTTTAACAAAGAACTTGTAGTTTAAATATATACATGATACATGATAACGCCATCTATTTGTTAGGTCAAATCTCAAAAGCTAGAACACAAGACAAAGAGAATTTGTTGAAGTCATCTAGACTCTTTCAATTATACTATACAATACCTATAATATATTATATTTCCACTGTCAATTTAACTCATTTCAAATTATGATTAATAGTTAGATAGATATATATAAAGAAAGGTACATTTATTTTTTCATTTGATTACTTAATGTATAACCCCAAAAAATGAAAAAGAAGTTGAAGAAACACGACAATTTTGAGTTTGCTGCTTTACAAAATTATAAGATGAAAATTGGAAAGTGAAAATTGAGCTAACACATTACATACCATTTGTATGTGTCACACACAATGGCCAGAGTTCCTTTCCCATTTACTAGGGAATATACCATGATTAGCTATTATAATAATCATGTAATCACCTGATTAAATAGTCTTTTGGTGCTTCCATTTCCTTTTAATAAAATTAGATGTATTCAAATGAAAGTCCACTGTGCACTCCAGTTTCGTTTATATTTATAAATATATAATTTATGAACCAAGTTTAATATTATAGTGGTTAAAGCTAGTGAGTGACTAATTGTTGAATTAAAAAACGCAATTGACTAGCTTGAGCTTCCTAGAAAAGGCTATCAATCGATAGTGTCCACTAATGAGTAATGACTACATATATTTCCTGAATATAATACTATATTTCATTCTCAATCAAGTGTCGTTGTATTAATTTGTATATTTTTCACACAAAAAACTTATGAAACAAACATGAAGTCACAAAAGAAACTTATTATGAAAATGATATAGTGATACATAATGCATAAAAATTTAAAATCAATCTTCATGAAACAAGTAACAATACCACACTATTTCTCCTTAACATTGGAAAATTTTATTTCCATAAAGTAAAATTGTTGATTACCAGTCAAATGTGCAAACTTAACAACCATGATTGGCTATTCGATGAAGTAACTTCGAGTAGGTCTACTATTTATTGTTCAGCAATTACATGAGTTTTTTTTTTTTTTTTTGCTATTACATGAATTGATTTGAAAAACCCAAAGTAATAAAAGGCTCAAATGCAAATAGTTAAATTTCCAATTCATACAACATTTACAAATTACAATAAACCATGTACATTAAGAGACTAAACACTATCACACTAAAATGATGATCTGCATTAAATTAAATTATACTAGTTTTCTAATAAAATAAATGGGAAAGTAAATGATTATGGCAAGAAGGAGCTGGGATCATCTTCGCCTTGTTTGATTCGGATCTCGATTTCGGGTTCGGATTCGGGTCCGGAGCTAGAGCTACCGGGTAAACCGCCACACTTGTGACACCTGGCAACAACCAAGATCTGACGGCAAGAAGGACAAGACGAGTGAGATCCTAGCCACGTGTCAATGCAAGACACGTGGAATCCGTGACCACACTGCGGTAAAACTCGGAGCTCATCGCCGGCGGAGAATTCAGCTAGACAGATCGCACATTCGACGAATTTCTCCGACTCCGGTGACTCCGGCGAGAAGGCAAGTTTCGGGAGAGATTGGAGAACCTTCTTCTTCAGGCCTTTGTTCGCCGCTGCGACTGGAGGTGGAGGAGATTGACCTTGAGATCCGGAGGCTGTTCTGTTTCCGGCTGCAAAACGACGGAGCCAGACGCATCGAGAAACGGCGATTAAGCCGAGAACACATATCAAAGCGCAGAGGAGAGCAGCGAGGATGACGACGAGATCGGAATTCAACGCGGCGTTGGAGTTATCAATCGCCGGCGACGGGGTGTTGGATTCTACGAGAAGACGGAAGAGAAGGCGAGCCATTTCTAGCGAGTAAGAAGTTTTGTTGTTGTTGTTGTTGTGTATAAAATTTGAAAAATGGAAGAAGATTGATTTGAGTTTGAGAGGGTTTGGGAGTGGCAACGAGAAGCAGAGATTTATAGAGGGAGAGATTTCTTCTGGTTTGGTCTTAAAAATATCGATGTCGGTTAAGGTTATTTCAGTCATTTACAACACGGTTTTTTTTAGTTTAATTGTTATTGACGTTACACTTATACACTTGTTGCTTTCGGTCCAGACTCATTGAAAATGAAAATCATTTAATTATGTGGATTTAATGTCTTTGTCACAATCTTATGTAAATTACTTAGAAAATTTTAAATATCATTCACGGCCTGTTATTATATGATTTAAAGATTATTTATCACATTAATGAAATAAACTCAACTTTTATTGGTTTGACTGAATGGTAAATTTGGCATTGTTAATTTGTAAAAAGACATTTACATGTCTTAAAAATGATTCTTTAAAAAAAAAACCCGAAAATAAGACATTTTTTTTATAAACGGAAAAAACGAAATTATGATAGTAGTACTTAATGATTGTCAGTGTATGGCTTGACCATTTATATTGTTGGTACCATTAAATATGTAACCGAAAAACTGTGGGCGTGTGTTATATTGGGACCTTGGGATGTTGGGAACTACAACCGAAGATTCGTTCTTCTGTCAGTTAACCAATAGTTGCCTTTTGACTCGAAGACACATACTTTTATCTTAAAACTATATACTATACTACTAGTATTTATCATCAGATGGATAAAATTAGAGAACTGTAAAATAATCCTGGTAAGTAAGTAATCAACAACAAAACTATACAACTATTTATTCGCATTTAGTTAGATAATAAACGTACCTAAGTAGTAGTATATTTTTCTTACATTTGTAAATCAAGTTAATAAGATTAAACAATGGAATAACTTTAACTAATATCACCTATAGAATAAGACGGAAACTCACTTATTTTGATATATTATGACCGAATGTTGGGTGTTTTTTTTTTTGGCCACATGGTCCATTCAAAGTGCAAAGGTGAATGTTCTCTTGACCAAAAAGGTAAAATAAATAAAACTCCACGGATGGTTGTAAATTGCAAAAGGCTATGAAAATATAAACAAATAAGAAAATTTTCATAAAAAGGTAGAGTCTTAGTGAAGATCAAAGATGCCTTGGTAAAGAAAGAGCATTGCAGATGCCAATTTAACTCGAACCGTCCATAGTAAGATCCTATAATTTGCACTCAAACAACTTTCCATGTTTATTGGTTTATATTTTAAACAATTTATAATTAGGTTAAACTAATTAGTGATTCAATAGTTTTAAGTATCTGTTCAACTGATGATTTTGGTAGGAGAGAACTTAATGACGACTCCCCTTGTGGCAAATTATGATTCTTATTCGTTATTGCTAGAATGCTAGGTGATTAATATTCGGAAACCACCAAAAGATACTATACTAGTATTAAGTTATTTAATAAAGACTTTTAACGTATATGAATTGTTAAATTCAAGTTTTGTAAGCGATTTCTTACGTGTAACTACTATCTTACCTTTGATAGCCGAATTACCCAAAGGAGAAATGGAGAATTGTTTTTGAGATACACATTACTTTGTAGGGAAAACATTTTTCGCCATCAGAATGATGCCACATGTCAGTCAGCAGATCGCTTTGCTTGTGTGCAAACTGCCATACGACACTATACTTTAGAGGAAGTTTATTACGTAGTGCATAAGCATTCAACCCCAAATCTAAACAAATACAATATTCTATTACATAATGTTTATAAAGACTATAGTTTAATATAAATCTGATAAGTTTCGAGTTTTATTTCGGTAAATGTGAATATATATATATATACGACCGAAGTTGTTTCATGTTTTGTATGAGTAGAGCTGAATTTATATAATTCTTCTAGACATATTAACTTTGTGGAGATCAAATAGTAGCCAGAATCGGCCGAAGATATGGTCGGCCTCGTGTTACGTTACTTACTTGTAATGACATAAAACCTTTGTGTCCGATGATGATACATAACTAACTTCAATAACAGGTGTAAGACACTAAGACTCAACGATTTGGTGAAAGAGAGTGGAGAGACACTTGTCAATATTTCTTTTAAAAGGTTTCTAGTTTAGATACCATTCATATATAAGTATGTGTTTTCTTGATTATATTGAGAACATTATTATATTGATTTTTAATCTTGTCACAGAAGAGAAACAATGGAAACACCTTAAACGTGTCGTTTAGAAATTATTGTTTGTTTAAAACTTATTATGTTCATTAAGCTTAAGTTTTTCTTTTTGGGTCAAAAATTAAGCTTAAGGTGTACACAAACTAATTAACAGATTATATCTAATCTTCCCCAAGAGAAGTAAACGAGGAGAAAACGTGTAAACTAGGAGTTTCCTAATATAGTAACTCGGAGAAAAATTAAAAATGAGTACTAATTTTCTGGTTGACTCTTTCTCGTTTCAGTGCACTCTCCACTTTCTGATAATCGCACCGCCCACTTCTTCTTCTCCCCACATGCTCTACTTTTTTCTCGTTAAAATTATTAAATATGGGATGACTAATACGAAGATCACATCTAAAACATGTCACTATACAAAACCTTTTTTCAGACAATATACTAAATGATTATGGGTAAGTCTATAATCATCTCGCATGACTAGCGTATAAATAGTCAAATAAAGTTATGAGGAAACTTCATTCCTCCACTAATTAATTTATTGCAAGTTTGAAAAAATAATGCAGCCTCGAGGAAAATGCATTGAAATTGACCAAACTCAGTCAATTTGTGGGCACGAAATTGCTCTAAGCCACATTTGCGGTTTATGACAATGACTTTAGCAATTTCCAGTGTCGTCTAACTTTTCAAGATGGCCTTCGAGTATTTTACAATCGAAGTCAAATTATATTTTGTAGTGATATTATCCAAAGATCAAATAATTAGACTATAAATAAGACAATAGAGACCCGATTATGTTGGAATATAAAGCCGCCTCTACTACTAACTAAACCGTTGTTTGGAACTTAATATGCATAGTTATCACGTGGCGTTTAGTAAGCTAAAACCACCACCAACTAACTAAAAATATGTGAATTTTTGTTAATGTTTATTCGATTTACTGTTGATATTGAAAACTAATGGTTGATTCTTGGTCATTGTGGGGTGTTATGCAAGATCTTTGATTCATGACCACCAGAAGCAAATCTTTATAGAACAAGATCTTCTGCACATGTGTGTGGGACTAAAAATTGTTGATTTTATACTGGTGGTGATGTTCAAGGCTCATATTAGCAGCATCACGATCTCAAAGTCAACCAGAACCGTAACGCAAACCAAACTATACCGATCTGAGATGACCGGATTTCTAATGTTTGGTTTGTGAATCATAACACCGTGCTTAGGATTTTTGGCTTGGTATGTATTTTCCGGTCAACTATTACAGTATCACAAAGTAAAGAGATCTCTAAAGGAACCTAAGTGGGGTTTAAGACCACGCATAAAGTCAAAACTAGTTAGATTCGGATTCTATCTTTAGACAAGGAAATAAATAATAGCTATATGAGCCTAGGAGACAAAAACTAAGTTCTTAGATGCTTGCAAGAGTAAAAGTGATTGATGATCTATGAATTTGCTCTCAATTGGCTGAATCAAAGTGAGTTTTTTTTCTATCAGTAATACATTTCTCAAAATGATACAAATATGAAAATGTGATCTGACTATTCTCTGTTTCTGTTCCTGTTTATTCATTACAGATCAAACCTCACATTCCATTTTCCTTTCAAGTTGGTGTTGAAAGTCCAATTGTTTTCTCTAATCTGCATATAAGGGACCTGTAACAGAGAAAGCAAACACATAGTATGTATAGTGTTCAGTGATCCAATAAGAACCATTGTTGTTTGCTTTTGTTAAAAGGTGAGCTCAAGCGTACCCTCTCAAACATTTCGTAGCCAATTCTGAGGCGTAAATCCTGATCTTTCTGAAACTTCCATATGTTCCAATCAAATTCAGCAGCTCCTTTCGCGTTCCTCTGTCGGGCAAAATCACAAAATCTCAGTCCATTCTTTAGTTTTAAAAACCATCAAAGAAACATAACTGATGGAAAAAAGAAAGAGGCAAACCTGAACAAAGTCCTGATCAAAATCACATCTTCCTTTGATATTAAAGGTTACAACCTCATCAGTTATCACAGGAAACTTCTTTTTCCCACGTACAAGACACCGAAGCTTTTCGCGTTTAACATAATGCAAACCAAGGCCAAGGCTTGTTGAAGCCTATACATATAATTCATGGTAATCAAAAAAAGGTTTGTTAAAAGGTTCACTCAAGCAAAGAAACACAAATTGAAGATGAAAACCTCATGGAAAAAGTGTCTTATCATTGCACAGAAGTAACTTGGCACTCCAGCTCCTGTATCTAGCTCTCCATGAAGCTAATCAAAAAATGTAAAACCAACAAAACAAAGTAAGAACACAAACACTCTCTGCTCTATATCCCGATAAGGCGGCGATAGACTGTAGCCAAAAAACAGGTTTAAGTATAATCTTCCAAAAACCTATCGATTCATCTTTATACCTACACAGCTATTTCTTCTTAAGACTAAAAGACTCTAAAGCCTGAACATAGAGAATAACTCCTAATTGAAATTTCTAAGAGGAAGACCATAAACCCTGACAATCACAAGTAAGAGGCTTTGGGCATTCAATAATCATCACATCTGGGAAGAGAATCAAAAGAAGAAATCCCAATCAAAATTGAACAGCCACTAATTTGAAGAAATTCACCTGCAGGCGAGTTTTGGAGTTCACCGGGAACTTCTCCTTGGCATGAATTTTCAAAGACCTGGAATTGGTAGCATATCTCAGAGAAGTCTCCATTTTTCTCAGTAGATTTTCTCGGGAAAAGAAAGAAGCTACCGGAGATATCGCTACCAAAGCAACCAGCAAAGTCCGCTCCGCAACCAAATTCTCACCTACAGACGAGCTGTGGGCATTTCGGTTACTATCGGTTTCGCTTCGGTTTACAAAATTTGTCAAACTAAAACCAAATTAATTATGGTTTGACATTCGGTTTGGTTTTCTCAGTTGATTTCAAACCATTTAAAAGTTTTGAATTGATTTGGTTTGGTTGGTTTAACATATTTCAACCAATGAGAAGCAGCCACATAAGAAATCATTACTTTTTAACAAATTTTCGTCCAGCAAATATTCCTCGGTTCTTTCAGTGTACCAGAGTTTGGTGTATAACAACCAGACACCAAATAAATACAGTACTCCAAAATTTACATCTTTCCCTCTTTTCTCCTTTGTTATCTTTAGACAAATGTTGGGACTTGGGACAATGCTTCAAATTTCTCTTATCAGTGTTCACTACTCTTCTGGGGGAGGTGTCACTCGAAGCAGCTCTATGTTTAACTCAAATGTAGCTCCAGGCTGCACAAACAACATACATGTTTTTATTATCTCTTAAACCCCAAGCATTATACCACATTTTTTGTAATTAGTTCTCTGCAAAAGACGGAGCTTTCCTCATATACAATTTGTAGTAGGTTCTCACCGGTATCTCATTCATTCCTTTCTGACCATAACCAGCTTCTGGAGGAACAATCACAGTTCTCTGCAGGAACAAAAGAAAGAAAGAAAGATGTCAAGAACTACTAACATTGCCTACATTACAAAGTAACTAAGTGTCATGCAAAGTAGGAAGCGAAATTGTGGCCCTGTTCCTAACCTTGCCTCCGACTTTCATTCCTTCGGTTATGTAATACATTGCTGGAGGAGGTTTTGGTGCAGCCTGTGCAGAGAACAACCCGTTTGGATTGTCAACGAATTCACGCTTCCTTTCCTTTCCTGGCGTTGATCCCACCTTGAACTCGTAAGGCTGTTCCAGAAACAAGTAAGCCACCGTCAACTAAAAACTATGCAGAATCAAAAACTGTAAACAAAAGAGATGGATGGTTTAGTAACCTGAGCAATACTACGATTTCCAGCTAAAAGCTTGGATTCTCGGGTAGAAATTGCAGTGATGCTTCTGTAACGGCAATCGAAATGCACCTGAATGTGGAAAAGACAGACACATTACAATGTAAAAGGCGAGAACTCGATTTCGATATAGAGAAATTACAGTGTGAATCATAAGAGAGACCTGAGCAGTTGATCCCTTTGTGGCTACTGGACCTTTGCCTTCCTCAATGTCATAGAATTTTAACCCTTCAGCTGCAAGAACAGAGTAACAGAAACATTGTGTTAATAACAGGCTAAAGTTTATGTTTTTACAATCTCCAGAAACTTCTCATACAAGTCAAGCAAATCTTTTTTTTCCCAATTCACAATTTTGTCGAATCAGAAACTCTCAAAACTCAATTAGCCAAGAGAGTAATCATGGGCAAAAACAAAGAACACTGATTTTGAAACTTAAGTGGAATCGATAATCGCAAAGAACGAATTCTGAACCCTAATTGTGAAAATCTGTGCAGAAGACGAACCGATAGCTAAGAAGAGAGCGAGGGACTTAACGGCCAGTGGAATATTCCTCGAGAGGGATAACTTTTCTGCTCCGTCTCTCTCTGGCTTCCGAAGAGCTCGGCGGTATAACAAAGAAGCTTGTCAATGGAAGCGAGCCGAGAAGGATGATACTCGCGTCTCTTCTTGATATGGGAACCGGAAAGACAACGAATTGTTTAATGGGTCGAGGTTGGTCAGCCTCAGAAATGATTCGAGGAAGACGAGAGTGTTGAGTAGATGCCCAACTGTGTAAGCTACTAATGGAAGCCATTGATGAAGAAGCATAGAGCTCTGTTCACATATCCATATCCTAATTTCTCACTGCTTGAAGTTAATGACTTTTTTACCCCTAAAGCTGGATAAGAGAAGAAGACTAGACATTCACCAAACGCTGTCGTTTTCGGAAACAAACTATTAATTCACCTTGTACTTGTAGTCGTTTTGGTTTGGTCTCACAAAACTGTCAAAACATATACATGCTTAAAAGCAAAAAAAGTCATAAAAAATCTTCCTTTTTAATAACAAGTTTTGCCATATTTCCTTAGGTCTATAAATATATATCCACTATAACATCACCAAAACTTCTGGAATAATTACACCATCACAGAACTAAGCAAAAAGCCCTAACTTTTTCCTCTCTTTTTTTCTTCCTAGATCAATCATGGATAGATTACCTTTTCACATCCTTGAAGAGATTCTCTTCAGATTGGATCCCAAATCTCTGGCTATGATGCAATGCACGGATCGATCTATCAACTCGCATATAACCGACGATCCGCTTTTCAAATCTGTATATAAGAAGGACCATTACGACGAGGGAGTGGTTCATGGGAACGACTTGAAAGCTAACAAGTGGGGAGTCATGGATTGGATTCCACGGTGGTGCGATGGTAAACGAGACTTTTATCAGTCCAAACCGTCTTTGACATCTTCTTCGATGGAACTAGATGAGAATGTGGACGTCGACATGATTAATCATGATGATGATAAACGAATCTCCTCTCTAAGCAAAATTACGAGACTAATTAGTGGAATCTCACCATATGCTCAGAGCCTGTTCAAGAAAAAGGGAAAGCTACTTGGAAAAAGATTGATGATTGAAGAAGAAACGAAATTGAAGATGATGATTGATGAGCCTAATTCTTCCAAGTTCCTAGACGTGGAGAGAATCAACAAAAGAAGAAGAGTCAAGTAGACAAAATTCGTATTGTGGCTAATTTTGGTTAATGGAATAGAAGTTTAAGAGTTATGTTTTTCCTTTGTTTTTTTTACTACTTTTCTTTTTATATGTTTTGCTAAGATATGATGTTACTTGAGAGATTTAGAACAGACTTCTAATTTCCAAAGCCCCAAAAAAAATAAAAGGCCATTAGAAAGACATAGAAATTTGGTGGGTAAAAGCAGATTAATGATCCTTCTTGTTATTAGCAAAACATATTTTTCGGAAAAGTTTAAGATTCTTTGATCTTTCGAGTGTTTAGTTAGCACGGAACTAGCTGATTAGTTAAGATGTTAACGGTTCCTACTTTTCCGTATAAAAATCAATCTATAAGAGATTTTTTTTTTTTTAAACTCATTTTTTTTTTTTCTGGTAGGCTTTAAACTGATTATAAAATCTAATCTATTTTTGAATTCCAATCATTTCTTCATAATACATGTATCTCATCAGTCAATAGGAAGAATTTATAGATTCTGATTATTTACTTTTTAAGTTTTAAAATGTTAATGAATGACTTACGAAACGTAAACGTTTTCGGTTTGTAGTAGTTCCTTTTTCGAAGAGATACTACAATTATTACCTTTATACTCATATATTCAGAAAACGTAGTCATTTTGTTAAAAAAGGAAGAGAATATTATTCATTCGAAATATTTCCGTTTTATCCGAAACGTTCAAACTTTTTTATTGGGAAATTTTGTTAAAAATAATTAATTACGGCGATAAATACATATGCACTAGAAGTAACAAATTACAGCGAATAATCACATCAAAGAACTAAGAAAAAACCCTAATCTCTTCCTCTCTCTCTCTCTTTTTGCTTAGTTCGATCATGGAGAGCTTACCTTTGCCTCTCCTCGAAAAGATTTTATTCAAATTGGATCCCAAATCTCTGGCTATGATGCAATGCACTAGAAGATCTATCAACTCGCATATATCTGACGATCCGTACTTTAAATCCAAATACTTGTCTGGGGTCGGATCCGGTTTGCTTCAAATCTCCGGCTTTGGCTCCACCACCCTCTTCTGCAACCCTTTCGTCAATTCTAGGTTATTCAGAAACAAAGCTTTCTTAGAGATCAAATCTCAGATTCTCTCCTTTTGTTCTGGCCTTCTCCTACTCTTCATCGATGGTCTCTGTGTCGCAAATCCGCTCACAAAGAGGTATCGATTCCTGGATCACTCTAAGTCAATGTTTCTTAGTCGTGTTGACAGAAGGGGAAATGTAAGCTTTTACCTTCGATGGCATAAAATGAATCGCATTGGTTTTGCGGTTGATCAAATTGATCGAACAACTCAGGCTTTCAAAGTTGTCTGCATGAACGATACTGATGCTTCGAATCCAGACGAAACCATGTATCAATTCGAGATTAGCACTGGAGATTCTTGTTGGAGATTGTCGGAAACAACTATTACTTGCACCGCAAGTGGTCTCATCAAGGATAAGAAACCGGTTTACTTTGACGGATCTCTTCACTGGTTGAGAAAGGACGGAAGCATTTTAGCTTTCAATCCAGAAACAGAGCAGGCACGGCTGATTCCAATCAAGTTTCCCCCACAACTAAGCTCTGCCAACTTGTTCGCAGCCGCAGAGAAGGAACTAGCATTGATATCAGCGACGGAGGAATTGATTAACGTTTATGCCCTCGAGGATACTCTCACCGATCCCAAGTGGGTCTTAGTGAAGCAAATCCCGAACGGAGTGTTGGACAAAGAAACAATGAGGTGCTGGAACGTTGGGGCATACGACGGCGAGTTCTTAGTGTTGTGGGAAATGAACAACAAGGAATGGTACGACGGAGTTGTTCATGGCTACGACTTGAGAGCTAACAATTGGGGAGTCATAGGTTCTGTTCCAGTGTGGTGCGATCGTAATCAAGTCTTTTACCACTTTAAACCGTCTTTCTCCTCTGCGATAGAACTGAATGAGAAGGTCGACGTCGAGACAATGGTTCATGGTGATGATGAAAATAAACGTATCTCCACTCTAAGCAAAATTATGAGACTGATTGATGAAATCTCACCTTATGCTAAGAGCCGGTCCAAGAAAAAGGGAAAAAGATTGATGACTGAAGAAGAAACGAAACTGAAGATGATGATGGATGAGCCTTCTTCTTCCAAGTTCCTAGACGTGAAGCGTTTTTGCAAAAAAATAAAGTTCTTAGGCATGGAGAAAATCAACAAAAGAAGAAGAAGTCAAGTTCGCAGGCGGAGTCGGTGTTAGAGAGCTTTGTGTTCTACGCCGTTGACGGTTCAATATTCTCGGACCACCGGTGAAAGACTTCCAATCGCTATGGTTTTCTATGATCGCTTATATCTCCAAGAACATAATCATCAAAATTGCTTATCACTTCATTTGACTCCGAAAAATCTCAAATGGACTAAATGTTTTCATTTTCCATGTTTTTTTTTTTTTGCCATGAGACCAATATAAAAGCTTTATTATTTTTGACTTTTTTTTGGGTTAATTATGGTTTCTTTTGTATTTAATTTACACTGTTTTTTTTTTTTTTTTCACCAGAAGAGGATATTGATCTTTTTATATGCGGTATATACATAACGATCTTTTTTTTTTTTTTTTTAATATGTTCCTCTGAAAAGTTGTATATTTTTGAATTCGAAGAATTCCTATCCCATCAGTCAATAAACCGAAATTATAGCATTTTAAGTGTTATCTCAGTAGTCAATAGAATCTTGTTAGAGATTAATGACTCCTAGATCCCTTTAATTGGAATTTTTTTCTTTTCTGAAACAAAATATTACATTTTTCCCTTTCTTGTCAACCTATTAAACTTTGCCTTATTAACCCATACTTTTCCTATTATTAATGGGTTTATCTTTACCAAATTGGATTCGAAATCCAAATGAAACAATGTACAAATTCGAAATTAATTAACGAGGGAGATTCATGGAGAATTGGAGATTGTCAAAAACCACAGTTACTTGCAGCTCAAGCAATTTTGACGAGCGTATGAGACCTGTTTACGTCAACGGATCTCTTCACTGGTTGAGAAAGGACGGAAGCATCATAGCTTTTAACCCCGAAACAGAGGAGGCACGGCTGATTCCTATCAAATTCCGCCAAGAACTGTGTGGTGAGTCATGGGGGTTGGATACTTGGATTCCAAGGTGGTGCGGTGGACTCACGGACATTTATCTGTTTTCACCGTCCTATCCCTCTGTGATTGGATTGGATGAGAAGCTGAAGCCTTGTGATGATAAACACATCTCGATTATGGGATTGATTGTTGGAATCTCACCGGAGAAAGTGAAAACGCAACTTAGAAAAAGATTGATTGAAGAAGAAGAAACTAGATTGATGTTAAAGAAGCAACGAAACTAATGTTCAAGATGATGGAAAAGCCTCCCAAGATCTTCTTTCACAATCACATGCATGCAACGAACCAACAAAAGGAGTGGACAACGTCGTACGTAGCACCTGTGGAATTAATATGTACCTTTCTTCTCAGATTATGTCTTTAATTTCTAGCGTTGTATGCTTATTACCTCACTGAGCAGCATATACCCGTGAAACAAATTATTCGGAAATAAATTAGGTCAAAATCTAAATTCTTAATCAACAGTAGAGGAGCCTCATATTTTGATGATTTCTTATTAGAGCCCGGATTTTTCTGGACCTGTTACCAAACTCTATGACCTAGTGTCGTAGCTTGTAGGCATTGTCTTTTAAACTGATTAACCTTTCCAATGTAGGATATAAACAAACAAATCAAATAGCTTAAAGCACACGCAAACAAGAATCGGAATTTACAATATATATACCCAGAAATAACTGGATGCCTATTAACAAGTAATACCATCAAAACAAAACAAAAAAACACAGTTTTAAATCACTAAAACTCACCGGACAGATTCAAAGAGATTCCCCTATGCCATATTTGGGACCATATTTGGGAATATACCTGAGAAGTTTGGGATCTTATCAATGTGTTTCAGCGCGTTCTCAGCGATCTGTCGCGTTCTATAATCAGCGTTTTGGAAAGCGTCCACAAGTGCAGCGCTCAGGGTCTGTTCCTCTGCCACCTCTCTTGCTATGACTTCAATCCGCAAGATCCTTTCCACCATCCAAACTGCTCTCCTCGTCAGCCTCTCTGTTCGGTTCTCCCTCAGGACGTTTAGTATATGCGGTATCCCCTCAGCTTCATCAAGTATCTTGACCCCTTTCTCTACATCTAGTCCGTCTTCGAGTAAGCTTGAAAGAGCTGCAAGTGCGGCCTCAACCACTTTCTCATTTTCATGGTCTAATAGAGCCACTAATTTCTCCACAGCTTCTCCTTCGACAAGGCAAAATGTTTCTCTTAATGAACATATTCCCTGGTGGATCTTGCATAGCCCGTTTACAACGTGTGGTTTTCTCATACATGAAAAGATCGACCCACAGTAGTTCAGAGGAGGCGGATCAGGCATCCTTGTCAGCTTTATAGACTCTAGTGAAAGATTCTCTAAAGCCATGGCGGAAACCATCTGGATGTTATCTTGACCGTTGGATTGAAGCAGATGAAGGAAGAGCGAAGCAACATTGTACTCACGGCAAAAGGTAATGGCCCGAGCCTCTTTGTTGACAACAAAAGTAATCCTAGCAAGTATACACACAAGTCCTTCCAGAAAAGGACTCACAAACCTCATTCCCTTGATATCCCCTTGGCGGATTCCAATCACTTTGGAGATGATTTTTTCAAAAGTACCAACTTCTAACATCTCCTGAGTAAGACCCAAATCCCTATCTGGCAATTCAGCTAAGAGCCCAGCAGCTGCGGCCTGTTCTTCAGTGATTGGTGTCTTTTCTGAAATGATTGCAACAAGGCTTCCGAGTTGTCCTGCAGTGCCACATAAGGCCTTAGCTAGTTCTTCACTCATGAATGGGGAAAGGTTATGAAGAAGCTTTATGGAAGCCAAACGCAAATCATCATTCTCTCGGACCTCTATAAACTGAACCAAACTGATGATTGCACCAGAGGTTTTTATTGCATAAACAACTTTTGGAACTGTTTTTGGGCAACTGGTGAGTCCAACAAGAACCTCCAACAGCTTGCACTGGATCGCTGGACCTGTGTTGCTAATTAGATGGAGCAGATTCTCCACTCTGTTGTCTGAAACAAGAGTGACTTTGTCAAAGTCATACCCGATGTTCACTATGTTAGCAAGAATAGTGGCAGAGACTTCTTTCAACCGAATTGGAAGGTTGTTTGGCCCCACATAAAACAGATCTTTGATAAGTGGGGGGAGAATTCCTTTGCTGATCAAGACCTTAGCACTCCCTTCGAACGATGAGATTTTGTTAAGAGCTTTCAAAGCAGCTTCCCGTTGGGGCATGTCACCACTTCTCATAAGATCGACAAGAGAAGAACCCACAGTCTGAGCCACAAGAACCTTCACATCGTTATTTAAGGGAAGCTCCCCGAGAAAGGAAGCCATAGAGAGTTTTGTTTCAGGTGAACCTGCAGATCATGTTTCACATGTGGTGTCATTATTCATGCATGAAACTTGCCGTATAACAGAGGAAAATAATTAAAAATTTGACCATCTGGGTAGAAGAAAATGACGCTTCTTACAAGCGAACATGTAAAATTCCAAGAGCAAACAAATTATAAGGCAGAATACCATAACACCGTTATGCATCCGTGCGACTTAAGGAAGATAATAACATGTTTTATGCAAATGGAGCAGAGAGAATATTTTTAAATTTAAAACCAAGCAAAGAAAAGCAGTTCTAAATTCAGCTGATCGTTAAGAAAGTAGGGATCAATCACCTTCAAGGAGTTTTCCTAGAAGAGGCTGGAGTCTACCATATGAAGCCATCTGCCTAACAATTTCCTCTGACCTCTCCATGTTTTCCAAGGTTCTATCAGCTTTCTCAACAATTGAAACATTTTCTGAGTTGCTGCTTGTCAGACCAATCAATAATATAAGTGCTCCATGAATGGAACCAATCTTCTCGCACAAAGCTTCTGATTTAGAGAGCTCAAACAGCAAGGAAACAGCTGCCTCCCTCCCCTTTGATGGCTCGTGTGATAAGAACTTAACTAGTGTACGCACAGTGTCCCCTTCAGCTACTATCGCCTGCAAGATGCTGAAAATTTAATTACAACCCGCTCAATTTTCCATTACAATGCTATACAAAGGATTCAGCAGAGATGAAAGAAATCAGATTCAACCTTGCTCTCGTCATCTCCTTCAACGACAACTTGAAGAGTTTGTAGAGCTTTATACCGCACTCTATGGCTACTACTTTTTAACATGTCGATGATCATATGGATAAGCTGAGAGTTGCGCACACCATGCCTATTTGATCGGATGGTCCTGCAAATCTGTCGCACATGCATCAAAGCTTGCAAAATATCGGTCTCAGCATTTCCTAAAAACAGTGACTGACGAGCAATGTCAAGCTTGGCAGCATCATTCCTGGATCTCCACTCTTCGATAGTGTTACGCAGAGCTATGCTGGGGCTTACATCAGTGCTGCTGAGCTCACGAGAAGTCAAAGGGCAAGATGGAGGTCTCCCACTGTCCCGACACTCCTTGAACCATTTTTCAATGGCTTCACGCTCGAATGTTCGGCCATTCTCTAAAGTGACAGGATCATGCATAACCTCCTTTGTCAATGGGCAGATGAATGCTTCATAGATATGATCTACTCCTCGCTCAAAATGAGAGCTATCATCTGACTGATTACCATCCGAGCTTCCAACCATCTTAATCCTTCAAACTCACTGCAAATAATAATCAAATACCACACTATTATAAAACATATCCTACACGATTGGATACATCAATGCAAGCGTCTGGTAAGAAAGTGTCCAACTTTGATAGTAAATGAATGAGAAAGTTATGGAAACACAAAAGGGGATAGTACCAGATATAGCTAATTTACTTCACAGTGCGGTTCTTTCACAGCCAAGGAAAATAAATTCAAACTTGCAATCAAAACTAAAACCTAAAATACAAAAAGTAACAGTCTCCCAAAATCACCATTCACATGAACCCTAATATAGCAAGATTACAAAATTTAGCAATATTCGTCAAAACAGGAAAAAAAAGAAGAAGAAGAAGAAGAGAAACATCTAATTAAAGCATTTCAAAAAATACCAAAAGAGAGCACACCAACCAGTTCCAATCGAAGAAGCGTTTCCTCAAAGCTATACAGAGAAGGAACAGTGCTTAAAAAAAAAAAACCAAAGTTGATTCTTCTTCTAAGTTGACAATTCGAAAAACGACCACTTCTTTTAATAATCTCCTTGAGCTAAAAGCGCGCGACAAAGTTTGAGTTCTTCGTCATCCATGGATCTAATTGGAAGCAATCGAGCTTGCTCCTACTAAAATCTCGAGCTTAAATT